CTTTTGGCTTGTTCCAAAAAAACAGCCTTAACTCATTCAAAGAGTGATCTTATATCATTTCTTGTAACTCTGTGACAGCAGTAATTTATTGTGATGCTCGTTGAATAACCTTTGCGTCACGCCTCTAAAATTGGCAATTGCATCTCACCTTTCCCTTCTCAGCTCTCTTTCCCATGCACTTCTGTGTGACCTAACAAATATACCACGAAGCCCACAGATTCTGTGCCCTTTAGATGGAGGTTGAACTTTGGAAGAGTCCCACGGCTTCCTGCACGTTATATTAACTCTAAATATTGTTGATTTACCTCACATTGGCACTATATGTTGTGTGCACGTTGTATTGCAATTTCTGAGGAGCACAGAATAAATACATACAAAATTAACCAGGTATCAAACGTAGGTAGTTTTGCAAAGTTTGGAAAAGTATTCAAATGTGAAAGACACACTGTCATTCAATCGTTTACCCAGAAGTGCACATGAAGCAGCTGAGGAGGGAAATGCTAGTTTTGAAGGGTGTAGTCGACAGAGAAGTGCCATTAATCACTACTGACAGGAAGTCATTTACTTGGTTGAATACATGTCATTGGAAAAAGTAAAATATTACCGTGTCACTGTAAAATACTGTCTTGTACTCTAAATACACGACAACACCCAACCCTGGTGCTCACCTTTCCCAGGATTCCCGATGAGTTCCTCCTCGCGGCCTCCTTGCTGCTCCTGTTGGCTTCAGTCAGAGCTCCATGGTTCCCCCGGCCGTCCCCAAAGCTGCAGCCCACTGACGAAGCACCCCAGCTGGGCAGAGACGCTCTTTTAGTCCCCTGGTGGTCTGGATGTCCTCTTTCTGAGGAGGAGAGGCTCGGCCTTCTGGGAGCTCTCCTCTGATCTGCACTGGTGAAGCTCTCCATGCCTGAGGGCGAAGAGGACATCGTGGAAATTAGAGTTGGGAAGTAAATTATAATATATATGAAATTAGATAAGATAAAGTCATAGATTATGTTAAATATGGAGAGAAGATTTTAGGCTTTCTTTGACATGGAATCGTAATCAGATTTATTGCCAAGTTCTCACAAACAAGAACTTGCTTTTGGTGAATAATAGTATATACCTAAATTCAATAAGATAAATAAAAATGTAAAATAAGAGCCACGTAATGGAGGCCACATAACACAATTTGATAAGCATATTCTATTATTCTAAATGAGTTAAATGAACAAAAGCTGTTTTAATTGCTCAGCTATGTAAATATCATTAAGATATACACTTGTATTCTCCGTTTAGATGTTAACTTAAAACTTATTCTAGATTAGGGATTGTAGGAAAACAAATGTGCACAAACCATTCATAAAACACATGCAACATTATGCTCAGTAGAAATGGCCATGACATGGGACCTTTAATGTCTCCCTTCACTTCAAGTATAAAGCATGTTGACACACAGACTTAAAGTACAAAGGCCTCACCGGGGAGCCCTGGTCTCTTACTCCCAGCTCTCTGGTTTGCTTGGAGCTTGGAGGACTGCGATAAAAAAGGCAGAATCCCGGCAGGGTTTGCAGGAGCTTCTTTAGAGGATGAGCTAATCTGGATGTCACCGGCTCCGTCTTCGCTGTCGTAGCTGCCGTCCTCCTCTTCCTCCTCTGTGGAAATCACAACATCAATATGATCAGTCAGTCAGCTTCAAGAGATCTACCTGTAAACACTGTTAGCTAAAGCCAGGGACTCACTTGATGAGGAGTATTGACAGCTAGCTTTCAATATTCCTCTAGCATCTACAGTTCAGTTCTCAAGCCTGTGGCTAAACACTCGTAGCCGTGAATACAAAAGTGAGCAGAGAAATGTCGCCGTTCGTTCAGAATGAAACAAACTTCTCTCTGAGGCTTTTAAAGTGCCATAATTTGTCACATATTAACTCCAAGCTGCATAATAATGAGCGGCTTGTTCCTTAAGTGCAGTGACGGGGAGCAAATGTTGACACACATGCACATATGCAGCACACACACAAATACACACGGTTTGTTATTGGCAGCTGTGTGTCGCTGACTGCAGGGGGTCGTGTCGGGTGTCGACACATCTCTGACACACTTGTCACTTACATGGCGTTCTCGTCAACACTTTGCCTCAGTCACACACACACACACACACACACACACACACACACACACACACACACACACACACACACACACACACACACACACACACACACACACCACACACACACACACACACACACACACACACACTCACACACACACACACACACACACACACACACACACACACACACACACACACACACACACACACACACACACACACACACACACACACACACACAACCACTGCTTCTCGAGCCATCGAGGCAACGAGGTCATTCAGATTTGAGCGTTTTCTTTAAGTTCTGTTAGTTTTGAGCGTCTTCTCGTCTGAGGCATTTTGTTTTAAAGTCAGGAGGCTTTATTTCTCCTCATGTCAAACCTCCGTCATTTTCCCGACGTTGGGGAGGTGAAGAAGAGGGGAAGTCCAGGGTGTGAGATTCTGAGCCGGGCCAGAGCGAGGCTCACGTTACGGCGCGGCGTTGAGGGCCGGGGTGGCTGTGTTGCATGCCTGTGGCAAGTCGTTAACGGTTTTAACGGTGTGACAGACGAGCTGGGAAGTGAGAGAAGGGCCCCCTCGATGACGGCAGACAACTCACTCTCAGATACTTCACGCACACGCACACGCACACACACACACACACACACACACGCACACAAGCACACACACAAGCAGACACACACACACAAGCAGACACACACAGAGGCATTCTTGAAAGCGAAATCTCACAGTGTCTGGCTGATGTTCTTTCAGCTCGACTCATATTTATAATAACCTGTGAAACTGTGGCTGGAGGACACACCGGACTGACTACATATGAGTGTGTGACAATCAGACACACAGCTTATGTAAGCGTTCAACTGCAGGCACTTGACATAATCGTATTCAGAAAGTCGGAAGTGAAGAAGGCAGCACAATGAATCAACATTTTAACAAAATCGCAAAATGGACTACGATGCAATATCCAAATCACAGCAAGCACAATATTTAGATAAATATGTGTTCAAATAAATTGTTACGTATTGTAAAGCTGCCGAGCACGCCTACAAATATACAGTATTTTTTGGTACAGATTCTCTTGAAAAATACTATATTATTTAAGAAGTATATATTAATGTTTCAACCCCCTCACCTTTTTGAGGGAGTCAAAGTGTTATCAGAGCTCCCCAGCCCCCCCATCATTCTCACGCTGACCGGAACTGTAACTCACCGTGCTCTGAGCTCTCGCTGTCACTCTTCTCTTCCCTGACTTCCTGCTTTTTGTCGGAGGTCCGGTCGTCCTTGTGGTGAGTTCTGTTGGTGTTGACGGCCATCATCACTTTGGGCTTTCGACCCCTCTTCCTCTTCGAAGTCTGACCAGCTGCCCAGTCGTGCTGCAGGTCTGATGGAGAAACAGGAGGAGGAGTTCAGTGTCTGGCTTATAAAGCACTGATTGTTTAGGACCAAAATGTTGAAATGTGATATATTAATTAAAGGGGCCCTGGTATGCTCATTTTCAGGTTCATATTTGTAGTTTGTGTCTCTACTGTAACTGCTTTAATGTTAAAAAGCTATTTATTTTACTCATACTGCCTTCTGTCTGAAACCAGAGCCCAGTCTGCTCTGATTGCTTAGCTGGCTGGCTCTGTTGTGATTGGTCAACCGCTTAGAGATGTCCCACCCCTTAGCCTATCACGTACAATGTGTTGGAGCGCTAGCCAATAGGAGCGTGAGTGTTACAAAGTCATGTCACTATGTTCAGGGAGTAAATAAAGGAGTCCAATGGAGGTGTTTCAGGCAGGGGGGGGGGGGGGGAGTGTGTGAGAGAAACTCCCTCTGGAGAGAACTCAGCCTTTGAAGCTAATTTACATGCACACACACCTATATAACACACTACAGGAAAGGGAAAACCCCAAAAAGCATCACAGGGCCCCTTTAACTTGCCTTGTCTTGTATATATATATATATATACGCTCCGTCTGTACCCACCCTTGATTCCTTGTCTGCAGTGACTCATGGAGGCGTCCTCCTCCCCGGGGGGCCCTCTGCAGTGCAGCATGCCTGAAGACGATGCACCACGCTGGGCCTTCTGCTTCAGCTGGGTCACCCGTCGGGCGAGCCTGGAGCTCAGGGCGCCGGGCCGACCTCGATGCATACAGCGGGCTTTCATCTGCAGACCGGGGGAGGAGAAGCTAATTATTGACAAATGTATTTCCGCTAATTGAAATATCCAGGAAAGAACAAAAACGTTAGCAGCAGGAAGTGGCTGTCGGTGTGTGTATGGACCAGGAGAGACTGACCTGTGCAGAGCTGTGGCTGGAGAAGACGTGATTGGACATTTTCTTACTGGCTTTTTCCTCCAATAAATCCAACCTGGAAGACATGAAAACACAGCAGAGACACACTTAAACGAGAAATGATCATATACAAACCAGATCACAGAATCAATCCCATCACACATTTCTTTCCTTTCATGGATGATTTTTCTCTGCCTCTCCGCTCTCTCTAGTTTCGTCTCCCCTGGGTTCATTCATTGTCTCCCTCTCTCCCCCCTCACTCTTCCGATCTGTCTCATAACTTTGATGAGGTAAGAGAGGGACAACGCTTTTTGACGGCAAACATGGAAATATTCAGTGGCCGTGTGAATATATGAAACTCTGCTGAATCAACACATGAAAGGGGTAAGAATTATCTGTTGTGAGGGAGGGAGGAGAGATACAGGGAGACAGAGGGGGGAGGAGAAGAGTTGAGGGGGGAGGGAGAGAGACAGAGAGAGAGAGATGAAGCAGTCTCGGGGGAGTCTGTCCGTTGACCGGAGCTCCAGGGCTCGATCGATAAACACTAACCTCTATTGAACACTACTCTCTCTCTCTCACTCACACACACACACACACACACACACACACACACACACACACACACACACACACACACACACACACACACACACACACACACACACACACACACACACACACACACACACACACACACACACACACACACACACACACACACACACACACACACACACACACACACACACACACCACAACACACACACACACACACACACACCACACACACACACACACACACACACACACACACACACACACACACACACACCACACACTCTCTGTTAGCAGCTGGTGTCTGAGGCAGGTGAATCCTATATTCCCACAGAGGGAAGGTTTGGGTCTCAGCAACTCCGCTCCCGAGAGAGGAGAGGAGTGGAGAGAGGCAGAGGTAGAATAAGAGAGGAAAGGAGAGGAGAGAGTGAATACAATAGGAGAGGTGAAGAGAAGAAATTAAGGAGAGGATAAGATAGAGAAACAGTGAGGTGTGAAGAAGAGTGGAAAGAATAGAGGAGAGGAAAGGAGAGGAGAAAGAGGAGAGGATAAGATAAAGGAAAGGGGAGATGAGAGGAAGGTGTTAGGAGAAGATGAACGTATAGGAAAGGAAAAGAAAGAAGAGTATAGCAAAGGAAAATAAAGGACATGAGAGGAGGGGATAGGAGGACAGGAAAGGAAAATCTCCCTGCTCAAACGTTGACCTTTGACCCCTCTGAAGCCCCAGCGTTCACCTCATGTCAAAGTCTCACCAACAATAGGATTTGTTCGCCTGTACACGCTGTAGAGAATATGGCCAACAAGTATGTATGGTTTTCACTGTTTAGGCTCCACGCCACAGGTATATAAAGGGATCATTTTCTCCACTGGCTGCACGGAGCCCTGACCCCGACTCCATCCGACACCTTCGGGATGAATGGGAATGCCGTCTGTCAGTCAGACGTCAATGCATCGGTATGCTTTAAACACAGTGCTCTTCGGATCATTGAACAGTGGCTCGAAAAACCCCACACACACAAACACTCCTACAGACACACACCTTTCACATGCTGGAAAGCCTCTGACAATCACACACACTTTCATCAGCGCCTGGCCAGAGGAGCAGAGGTTTAAACTTCATCTCTTTATATCTCAGGCTTTGATATTCTCTTAAATTATTGCCATCACTTCCTGTTGTTTATCAACCCCATTTCAACGATTAGTGTGTCCTACTTCTTTCCGAAATGGCAGGCTTTTCACCTCTCTTCAACTTTTGCTCTCCAGAACTGTTATAAACACTTATGCTTCAGGTAAAGTTGGACGAGACATCATACAAACTGAATTTTTTAGCCTTTACAATAATACATCTGAGGCCAATCTCACAAATGCAAACCTCTGCAGCTTGGAGACAAAGCGTCACAAAGAAATGGACGCCTAATAAGAGGATCTTAATGCCTGTGGTTCTGACATTTCACATTTCACCAATCACATTTCAATGTCCACATACTTTTGTCCATGAAACACACATGTGTGTATCAAAAGGGTTCGTCTTGGCTTTTGAAAAATGCCTCTATCTCTCACACTCTCGCCTTTTCATTTCAACCCGCATCTCTCCCTCTCGAAGATGAAAGCGTAAACAAACGATACATAGCTTGTTATTAACAACAGAGATCCTGCTCAGGCACGTAGCAACCAGCGCTACTAATTAAACAAGTTGTGTGTGTGTGTGTGTGTGTGTGTGTGTGTGTGTGTGTGTGTGTGTGTGTGTGTGTGTGTGTGTGTGTGTGTGTTGCACCAGTATGTATGACTAAAGCCTTTCATTGTCATTTTCATTAGCGCCTTCTAATCATGGTAACCGTGACAAACCCTGAGTTTCTCTAATCATTTTATCAAGGCGACGGGTGCACATGCTAACAGAGGTGGGGCAGCATGAGAAAACACATTTATCATTATGAGTGTTGAACACAGGCTGTGTGTGTGTGTTTGCAGCGGTGTGCGGGAATGTGTGGCAGCATCCAAGTGTGTGTGTGTGTGTCGAAAGGTGTTAAATAATGTGTGTTGCGGCGGGTGGGGGTGTTGTCGAGTCGTTTATCACTGTAATAACTGTGCATCAGGACTTTGTCCGGCTGTATTAATATGCTCCAGGTTCACAGGGAATCGGGACATAATCAATGCAAGTGATAAATATGATTAAAAGTGATTAATGATGATTAATGAAGGTCTCATCTCCATTACTTTCTCTCATTTAAAATCAGCTCCCATCACATACCCCATTGTGTGTGTGTGTGCGCATGTGTGTGTGAGGCTCCTTCCAGTGCCCAATCAAGCAAATCATCAGCTATAGAGCATTTGAATCAATTCAGCTGAAGAAGAACTTCTTGAAAATCAGCCGCGCCTTTCAGTAAGAACACAAACAGAAATCAGGATGAATGAGCGGGGCTTGCCAATCACACTGATTATACTGACGCAGTATCAGAGGACTGACCTGAGTCTTTTGGAGCTCTCCGAAGCAGCTGGGCCGGGGGCCGACTTTCGCTTGCGGGGGCGACCGGGCCCCCGGCGGGCAGGACTACGAGACGTCTCCTCTTTCCTGCAG